TATTTTTGAATTACATTTCTTAAAAGCCCATAAAGGTGCTTTTTTTTTATTCTGGATTTGTAAAAAGTGCTTAATTTTAAAAAGAGATATCTTTGCTGTGTTGATTGTCGTTCTAAATTACAAAAAATGCTTGATTTTCACAATTTTCTCTGCAATATTTATCAGAAACTAGTTAATTTATCATTATTATGTGAAGTTTGTGAAAATTTTTTTGAATTTTATTGATTTTATAATCATAAATTAAGAACTTTAAACGACAGAAGAAAAAAAAATTTTATTACAGGTCCTTATTATGATTTTTTTTTTTTTTTGGAAAGTGATTAAAAATGTTTTTGAGTGCTTAAAGAGTACTTAAAAAGAGGTTATGTTTTGTTGAAAATTATGGCGTGCACCCTGTTATAAACCTCTTACTTGCGTCTAATACAAACAGGTTTGCTTTATTAGCGGAAGTTAACCTGCTAATTTTCAGAATAATATTAAAATGTTCTTTAATAATGTATTAATTTTTTTTAATATTTATTGGTCAATATCTTCCAACATATTGAGAAAAAAACAACATTAGCAAAAGAAAGTTTTGTAACTGTTTTACAAATGAACTTAAATGTCCTTAAAATCATAGAAATAATAGCATTCTAATTCCAAAATGGTACTTATTCAAAGTGTTAATAAAAGATTTAAATATATTTCTTTCTTTTATTTGAAATGTATAGAAAATTTTCTTGATCCAAAGCATTTTTCCAAGCAAATGTAGTTTAAGGATTTATTTTAAATTATTTCTTGCTATAAGATATAAATTAATTTCATTCCTGAAAACCAATAGATTGTAGAACTGTAGATTGTGTTCCCATAATCTACAATTTACAATGGCTAATGTTTACAACCACATTCTATATATATTTTTAATTTCAAATCTTTTTATTAGATTAATGGGATGTCAAGATTTACTTGACGATGTTCCTGGTCGATTACCGAGAAGAGATCAAGGCCCTCATATGTCAAGCCCTGCAGATTTGCGTAGTTTTGTGCGTGCTACTGGTAAAGGTTTGACTGGACGTGGCTCTTCAAAATCGTACAGTATTAAAGAAGAAACTTCTAGTAATATTCTTTTTTTTATTCTTTACTTTACGGATATTTTTTAAATTATAAGATAGAATACATTACTTATCTTATACAAATATATAAGCAAACATTGTTTTAACATAAAAAAAAAATTTGCACAACAATATCTGTTATTTTTTTTCATTATCTGTTCTACAATATTTGTTTTTTTAAAAAAAATTCATTTCTTTATTTTAATTGCAGATGAAATAATGGCAGTTTTAAAGTTAGATAACACTACAGTTGCTCAAACCACTTGGAAACCATGTAGCCAACAAGCTTGGGATCAAAGATTTAGCATAGATCTTGATAGGGTGAGTTTAATTTGTTCTATTGATTATAAAAAAAAAAAAAATTCAAAATTTCATTTAGCCTGGTTGGTAGGGCACACTGGACTCAAGTTTGTGAGAAGGGGAGTTCAAATCCAGTTGCCCGTGTGGTTAATGGTGACTGGTGCATGTTAAATCTGTCGAATCAAAGTCCTCCATCTTCTCATGACAAATTATACCTCTGGGGGTACTGGATTTGAGATTGATCATTTTCTGGTTCAGGTCTAAATTATGGTAATATGGTAATTCCGTCCATAAACGGGCATGGCAGAAGTCAAAATCTTGTCCATAGAATGTACTACTGGAGAACAAGAACAATTGCACCCCCAGTGCCTTAATGGCCAACGGCAACCTGTGAGCATCGGTTGGAGATCTCTAGCATTGTATACAAAGATATTCAAGTTATATCATACAAAGTAATAGTTTCTTTAACAATTCTTATTTTGATTTTTCATGTAACTTTTTTTTCTGCTCTCTGTTATTAAATCACATTTCAGATTTACATTAAGCTTAATTATTCTGATAAATCTAAATTTTCCTTCTTTTCCTTTTGTAACTTTATATTAATGCCTTACATATAAAGTTAATAAATAAATTTTATTTTAGTCTAGAGAATTAGAAATTCAAGTATATTGGCGAGATTGGAGATCAATGTGTGCAGTTAAATTTCTTCGTCTTGAGGAGTTCATTGATGACAACAGACATGGCATAGCTCTCCATTTAGAACCTCAAGGTCTTTTATTTGCTGAAGTAAAAATGAGATGTCTTTCTTTTTAATTTACAATTTCTCATAGAATTTCCATAGTACTTATCTTTTTATTTTGATTGACAGGTGAAATTTTTGAATCCTATGATATCAAGAAAACCTAGGCTTCAGCGTCAAAGAAAATTATTTAGGCACAAAGGTAAAGATTTTAAGCTGGTTGTTTTCCTATTTTTTCATTTGTGTTTACTTTTCTTTGTGCTTCTATAGTTTAAAATTTATTTTATTTAGGCAAAAACTTCTTACGTCCTGGACAAATGAATATAAATGTAGCAACATGGGGTCGTTTAATGAAAAGAGCAATGCCACAAAATTGTTCAGAACAACCAGCAACAATAAGTCCTCCTTGCCTAATGGCAAACAGTAAGTAATGTTTGAATAATTTACAAGCACAGTAAAAAATTGATTATCTTTTATCTGATTACCTCTATTAACAAAATAGGCTACTATGAATTTTTTTTAACCATTGTAATTTTTTTTTCTTTTCTCAATTTAAATAATATGCTTCCTCAATCTAGCTATATGCTTCCTCAATCTAGTGTGGTCCCCCCCCAAAAAAAAAATACTTTGTACTACGTGAATTTTTTTTAATTAGTTAAAACTAAGTTTTTGTCTGTAATTAAAACCATGAAACCAACTATAACTGTAATGATTAAACAAGAATGGATTTCAAATGAATGTGTCAGTTTAAAAATTGCTTTTATTCTGAAGGTGTTTCTCTAAATTTGAATATATAAATTTTTCTCTCAAGTAATGAAAATTAATATGATGATTCAAATAATCATTTTAATGTTCTTAACAATTTTAACTGTTTCTTTTTTTATTTTTATTACTCAAAATACAAAATAAAGTATGAATATTTGTTTTTTATTTAAGTGATTGTATTGAAATTGGTTTTCTTGAAAGATGATCTTGCTTATTAAGATATTTGCAATTTCAAT